ACACACACACACACACACAGCTGAAAACCTCAGATCATTTGTTCTCATTAGGCCACACTAACCGCTCAGTGATTTAACCTGCTCTGACTCAGACCAGACTCCTGAGGAAAACAGCCAAACCAACAGACCCACAGTCCCTTCTTCTTCCTCCACCTCACGTATTCCCAGGGATTAAAACAATGTGAAGCAGCGCTGCCGGTGAAAATAGGTCACTTATGTTTTTAGAAGGATAAAGCACAGGGAATTAGTTTTTCCTGTTCCACGATCTGTGATTTAGGACACGCACACGCCCTAATCAGCTGTGATTTTTTTTGACTCAATCAGATGCTTTAAGGTTTGACACACAGGCCTGTGGATTTATTATTCCGGGGGAACAAACACGCGAGGCTCAGCTCTTCGCCCAGACAAAACCGGGACAGAATATATTTCCCCGGCAGAAAACGGGTGCCGGCTATTTATAGGTCTTCTGAGTCATTTTTCATTTTGTAAACACAAAAAGAAACAAGAAAATGAAGCATGGAGAATATTCTGTCACAAAATTTAGCTTCAGCCTTTAGCCCCGTCCTTTAAACTGTCTTCAAGCTGTCAGAAAAGCCTGGAGGTTTTGGCAGACCGAGGCGATTACCCCGTCTAATGCAGTCCATCTCAAAGGCACCTTGCCTCACAGGAGCTGAAAGACAAGGAGACTGGACCGCTAGCTGCTGCGCTGACACAAATTGTATTTCAGCCACTCACTTGTCCTGAAATTAAAACCATTTTAGATTTAGCATGACTCTAGGTTACAGGTCCCCCAAAGCCTGGATCATGGTTTGGATCCAGACCAATAAAAAGTTTTATCTGGATCCAGATCATTTGAGCATTTATGGTAATTTGTTTTAGGTACAACTTATGCTAATTCCTGCATTTGTGTTAGTTCTTTTTTTTTTTAGCAATTATTGTGATTTAGGTGACACAACTTTCCAAATATTTACAGTAAGGATTTGTTTGGGCAACACAGCTTTTTTAGCGTTTATGGTAATTCCTTTAAGGCAGGGGCGGAGCCAAATTGGCACAGGTGCCACCCCCAAATGATTGACAAGTGGGGGCGTGGACCACATTTGGCAGTAAAAGATGGTCAGTTAGAGCTAAAACAAAGTAAATATCTGTTATTTAGCTGTATTGTATTGTAAAGGGAACTTGTCAGTGTGTGAAGAAAAAAACTTTTCTAAACCACTAAATAATATAAAAAGCAACAATTTCACTACAACAAATTTCAGCTCAATACGTAAAAAAATAGCTGAATTTTAGCCATTTTAATTTAGTTTTGGTTGACATCTTGGATTCTTTTATTTGATTTTACAATCTGTTAGGCATCTCAGCTACCACCACACTAAATATACAGTATATCTCTAAAAGGTTAAAATTGAGATTACAAAATGACCACCTTATGGAATTTCAGCTGAGTATTTCTAAAAAAAATGGCTGAGGTCGGACTACTTGAAATTAGCTTTGGTGGCCATTTTGGATTTTGTATCTGCATTCAAATTTTGTTAAAAATATTTTTTGGCTACTATTTACAGCTGTCTATTTAATGTATTTACAGCCCTTTGTAAAAAATTAGCATTAGCGTTTAGCTTAAATTGGGACTAGCAGTCAGCTGAATTAGAAAATCAACTCAATTTTAGCCATTTACATTTAGCCAGGTAGTTTTTTTATTTATTTGTGCCCCCTTGGTAACACCATGGTCACCCCTTGCAAAAAAGTCTAGCTCCGCCCCTGCTTTAAGGCACTGCAGGTCGTTTACAAATAAAGGTGATTTTTTTAGGTTTATTATTTAGTATCTACACTAACTAATTTTCTACTAGGAATTTATTCATTTTAAGCAATTTACAGTTAATAGTTTTAGGCAGAGGAGCTTTTCTGGCTTTTATAATCATTTGTTTTAGAAATTCAAACATTTTGGACCTTTGCTAGAGAAAGATTTTAATTGAACACCACTGCTCCAGGCTTGCGCATAAATCATCGTTACATGGAGGCAAACGCTGTGCAACATTTGTGTGTTTATTTAAATGTATCTATTTCTTATAAATTTCAACCCTTGGCTCATTTTAGCCCGCAAGCCTGCTTGTGTGTCACACATTTCCCACGCTCCTCGAGTCTCTGCAGAGGATCGCTTAATTAAAAGATGATGATTCTGAGCTGGAGAGGCTTTGCAGAACAAGCTCCGAGCTTAGCCGCCACACATCCTCTGGAAAAACCTTCTATAAAGCATTTTAAACATCACATCATTAACCACCACCACCGAGCAATCTGTCCCTCGTTATGCCACGCCGCATCATAAATGTCAGAGGAGGAAATTAATCCACTGAGAGTTTACGCTGGAGCTTCTGCGGGCCTCGGAGTTTGTGCGTCTGAGCTTTCCGAGTCACTTTCAGAGAGGAGAAAAAGAAACAAAGTCAGAAACGACATGGGCAATGGCTCTGGGCGCCACAGGGTAACCAACATGCCAGACAAACTTAACCTAAAAGTCATCCTTCTTCTGGTTCAGTTTCATCTTTTTCAGAGCTGCTGAAGCTCTTTTCTCACTAGTTTAATGTGAGGAAAATAAACAAATTCAGCCTGGGCACATTAGAACAGAAGCATGTAGGAGCAGAAGCTTCAAGCATTATTACAATAAAGGTGATGAGTATCTAAAACTACAGTCTATCATAAATTATAAGTATGAATTTAAATATTTCAAATAAATCTGTTTTATTTACCCAGCAGGAAACATCTCTGAACACTAAACACTGATAAAACTTCTAACTGGATATTTAGTCACAACAGAGTTAAATATTTATCCCAGGAATTAGACTGAAATCCAAACAGAGCTAAGGATGATGACTTTAGATGCTTTTAAATCCTTATTTTTCACATTTAAATCATTCAGTTGGGGTCTATATAAAAATAATTTGATATAATAGTTCAGAAAATGTCATAGAAAATAGATAAAACTAAACAAGCTGAAAATTAAAGCAGCACCAGGAGAGATTAAACTCAAATTTTCTGCACTCCTCGACTCCATGTACACAACAAAATGTATTTAACAGCTAAAATTTGGCTTTTAAACTGATGTAAAAATAGAGCATTAAAAAAAAGGCTGAACAAAGAGAAGATAATGACAAAATGTTTGAGGGTGTTTTTGCCTGTCGGCAAAAGGAAGATGATGATTTTGTCTGTGTTAATGTTCATCCACAAAACAGTGGACGTATTTTAATAAAACTCTCAGAAAACATACTCACTGCTTTATAAATTTCAATATTTGAAAAGAACAATTACAGCTTGGTCATTTTTAACACACATTATATGGTTTTAGTTTGAAAATCTGGTGTGAAAGCCTGAAGGAGCTGTGCGTTCCTTCCTTTAATTAAAATAAAGTGAAAGCACGTTGGTTTGAATTAATGAAGGTTTTGATGGATGAGGGAGGGAGCTGCATCAGATCCAAGACTGTAACCAGGGTTTTCTCCACCAATGTTGGCCACCTGCTCTGTCCACAAGCAGCAAATGCATCACTTTCATCAAAACACCAGGAAGGAGCAACTTCTACTGAGAACCATTATGGTCTGGATGGATGGATGGATGGATGGATGGATGGATGGATGGATGGATGGATGGATGGATGATTATTTATATGGATGGATGGATGGATGGATGATGGATGGATGGATGGATGGATGTGGATGATGGATGGATGGATAGATGGATGGATACTTGGTTAAATGGTTGGATGGCTGGATTAATGGATGGATGATGGATGGATGGATGGATGGATGGATGTGGATGGATGGATGGATAGATGGATGGATGGATGCTTGGTTAAATGGTTGGATGGCTGGATTAATGGATGGATGGATGAATGGATTGATATTATATATGGATGGATGTTTGGATGGATGATGGACGGATATATATA